CCCCCCCCCCCCCCTACGCAATAAGAACATGTGAAATTTGGGTATCCAGGGTTTCCGTGCCCCCGCAGCAGCTTGATTCTTCAGTCGAGAGAGAGAGCATGATGACACGAATTGGAGGAGAAAGAGAGACAGAGAGAGAGAGCCCCGCACACACACACAGAGCGAGGCATGCGTGCAGCAACTGCTCATGCCGTATATTACGTGTGCGCCTCTCTATGACGTGTGGCTATACCTATCCATGTACATTCTTATAGAACGACGCTCCTCTGTGGTTAATCGCGAAACACAGACAGGTATGCCTGCTGCGCAACCATGTTTGATGCTGGCTGTGCGTTGGTCCTTTGATCCGTTGCATGCTAGAGGCGACGGCAGTAGCAAGCATCTGTGGTGTATAACACCAGAAATAGTAGCAGCCGAGCAGGCTGGTGGCTATTGCGTATTTATGGGTTGCAGGCTGTTTGCGTCTTGCTGCTGTGTTGCCTGCTGCTTGCTGATGATGTACGTGTTTTATAGGTGTTTTGGTTTCCGGGGACGCTCCCGTAGCCCAGGGCACAAAGAAGCGAGAGATATGTCCGGAGGTGTTGCAGCCCCCCCCCCCCCCCCCCCCCCCCCCCCCCCCCCCCCCCCCCCCCCCCCCCCCCCCCCCCCCCCCTTTGAAGATTTTGTGTAGACTGGGTATGCAGTTGTTCCGTGCCCCAGCAGCAGTTTTGATTCAGTCGAGAGTCCAAAGTCGAGAGACAGCGTGAATTCGAGCACACAAGAGAGACAGAGAGATACGTGCAGGAACTGTTGTGATGACGATGCCATATGCTATCTATGCACCTATCATGTGTGTGGTTGTACCTGTCCATGTACACGCTTGGAGGAGAGAGGGTAGATCCGTTCCTAACCGAAGCACAGGTGCTACGAACCTACACAGCAGTAATGCTTACACGGCTTGCCGGCTGGCCATCTTCCGCGCTAGCTCATGGCAGTAGCAAAAGTCTGTGTTGGACTACGGCAGTAATAGCCTGCAGGAGAGCAGCCTGTCAGCAGCCTGTCAGCTGTTGTGTATACAGGATAGCTGCTGTGTTGTAGTTTGGCGTTTTGGTTTCCGGGGACGCGCCTCCCGCAGCCCAGGGCACAAAGAAGCGAGATATATGTCCGGAGGTGTTGCACCCCTCCCCCCTCCCCCCCGGTTTGAAGATTTTGTGAGGACAGGGTACGCAGTTGTTCCGTGCCTCAGCAGCAGTTTGATTCAGTCGAGAGAGGCAGCGTGAATTCGATCACAAAGAGAGACAGAGAGAGATACGTGCAGCAACTGCTGTGATGACGATGCCGTATGTAATGCGTGCGCCTATGATGCGTGGTTGTACCTGTTGATGCACACGCATGGAGGAGAGGGTACATGGACGTTGCTCCGCGGTTCCTAACCGAAGCACAGACACAGGTAGCTGGTACGAACTGTAATACACTGGTTGCTGCTCTGGCAACCCCGTGCTGCTTGGTAGCAACCGTCTGTGCTAGTGATGCAGCCCTGCAGCATGCTGTTTTGTACTTGTATGGGTTGGCTGCGGTGTTGCTATGCTACTGCTGTGCCTGCAGTGTGTGCTGAGTGGGTAGTCTTTTGCTGCGTTGTAGTTTGGCGTTTTGGTTTTCCGGGGACGCGCCGCCCGCAGCCCAGGGCACAAAGAAGCGAGATATATGTCCGGAGGTGCTGCCCCCCCCCCCCCCCCCCCCCCCCCCCCCCCCCCCCCCCCCCCCNCATGTGAGCATGCGGTGTGACCGCTGATGATCGTGTCGTAAGTAACTGCTGGATACAGACAGATACAGGACACACAGCGAAAGATGCACACAGACAGCTGTGAGATACAAACACGAGCACCACCAGCAGCAGTAGGTGGGAACTTGTGTGGCTATGATGTGTGGTTGTACGTGCGATTGATGAAGGTGATGTGTTCATGATGTTTACACACAGCAGCAGCAGTGTAGCAGTGGTATGCTTGGTCCACCACCAGTGCCGGGGGGGGGGGGGGAAACCCCCCGGACCCCCCCCTTCACCCCGCGTGGTTTGCTTGGTTCACCACACGCGTGATTTGCTTGGTGCAAAATATATATACTTGATTATTAATAAGTGTAATTCTGTGAACCAGAACATGACAAATGTCAGGTAAAGAAACACTACTAAGCTTGTTCATTTTCATTCTGCGAACGCCATAATACATAAAAATGTCCGTGTCAAGAGGTCGGGGCCGGTGACGTTCCATCAAGCCAAGAGGGGTTTCAGGAGCCCCGGGCACGAGGGGTTGGACAACGAATCACGCGGGGGCTCAGTGTCTATTGCTGAACAATTGAGAGTTCATGGTGCCGTAGGTGGTATCTCTCGGGAAGCTGAAGAGGATGGTACCAGAAGTAAAAACAGGAAGACATCGTACACGCACAGTAACACGGCCATCACTAACGGTGGTGAAAATGCGACTTCATCTCTCCTGATAACAGGGCTCTTTTCTCTTTGATGTTCGCGGTTTGACATACTCTTGTCTCTGCGTATAGGCCAGCACGAAACACGCATTTCGCAGCGTTAAGTGTGGACGACATTTAGCCGCCAACTTCCTTCCGATTGCGTTGTACTTGCGCATCACCGAGCAACAGTTTTTTGGCAAGGTCCAAAAGGTGGATAGGTGTCAACGCGAGCTCGAAAAAAATACTGTAGGGCCGCACGGATCCGCACCGCCCGCTCGTTGCATAGGAGGGGGTGAACTGTTGCCTTCCATGTGATCAATGTTGGGGGGGGATGATGAATCCTGTGTTGGGAATCCACAGTGATGCGATGCACGAGACGCCTAGAAATTATGCCACATCGCTTGCTTCAGGGACACATGCACGCATCCTTGGGTACGCCAAAAGTTCGCACTTCGACCCCCTTCCGGGAACAATTGCTTCTAACCTTTTCGTTGGTCAACCGGTCCATACACAGCGAGTGGGAATGGGTGTAGAGAGAGAGGCACCGCCACATATGCAGGGGTACGCCCCACCCACCACCGTTGCTTGAAAATGGGATGCCATATCTGACGACTAGCAGCCCTTCCTGATAAATCGGTTGGCCTTCCTGATAATCGATTGGCCGATTTCGAACCCAAAACACCCGAATGACCACTCACAAGTTAGGCGCCACTCCCTCAGCTCTCATCTCTTCCAGTAGCGCCGTGCTGGCCTTCCACTGCCCCGCCTTCCCCAGCGCCGCCAGCGCCGCCACGTACGTCCATACCTGAACACGCCAAGACCACCACGGAGACGAAGCAACGACAACAGCAACATCAGGCAGCAGTGTCAGAATCGACTGACGGAGTCAGAATCGTCTACGGGGTTTCGCTGCGGGCGACAGCAACAAGAGAAGTAGATAGCGGCAAAGCGAGATGGTGCGGGTGGTGGGATACGTACACACGGGGGGGGAGTCAGGCGGCCGGCGGGGACATCGTACAACGCACCTCTGGCTCCTCAAGCCCCCGCACGAGCGACAGCGCCAGGCCCCACTTCGGCGGGTTCACCTTCGCGCAGGCCTTAATCGCAGCCGTCACACAGCGCGAGCTGGGCTTCAGCCCTGCCGACTCCATCCTCTCCAGCACCGAGAGAGCCTCGACCCACTTCCCCCCGGACGCCAGGCCGGCCAGGCACCCCTCGTACATGCGCAGCGAGACCTTGGTGTTCGGGTCGGCGATGGCGTGGTCCAGCTCTGACAGCATCTCAGCCCAGCGCCTATGCCCGGAGTGGCTACCGACCGACCGCAGGAAGTGCTTGACGGTATAGACGCGCGGCCGGGGCGACGGTTCCACAGCCGCCGCTGGCGTAAAAGCCGCAGGAGGGGGGGCATCAGAAGCAACGGCAAGGAAGGCGCCATCGCTCCTGGGGACCTGCTGCGTCCAGGACGCCGAGGCGTTCGCGTACTCCGTGTCAGGCGCGGCTTCGGGGTAAGGAGAGTCGTGCGGCGCAGCTTCACCACCTTGTTGTGCTGGTGGTGGCGATGCCCTCCGCAGCCGGTGGTCAACGCTGCGCCTCTCCGCTCTCTTCTCCACCATTGCGACCGTGCCCTTCTTCACCGGCATGTCGTTCTCGCGCATCTCGTCGAGGAGGCTTCTCGCCTGCGAAATCTCGCCGGCGTTCGTGCAGGCCTTCACCACGTGGCTGTAGGTGCCGGCCGTGACTTTGAGCTCGGCCTCTTGCATTTCTCGCAGCAGGGCCAGGGCTTCTTGCCACCTTGACGCCCTCTCGCACGCTGGAAACGAGGCACGGGGGTTGGGTAGAAAGGGCGAGAGGAAAAGCGCCAGCACGCGTCGCGGGCAGGGGTTGGCACACAATATCTCTCGAGGTCCATCCTTATTGGGACGATTAACTACTACCATACTTCGTAGTAGAACTACACGACAAAGCGCCATGGACGACACATGATCAGTGTATGGTACATCATCGCGGCTTTGCACAATCTCGGAAGATATTGTTGCTGCTGTTGCTGTTCCTGTTTTATTCTTCGTTTTGAAAGCCGTTCTGACCTCTATCCAGCACCTCCTCATTCGTACATTCGTCCTCGTGTAAGGCACTTCCGTGGTCACAACCTACCCTGATTCAAGTGATGATGATGCATACTAGCAAACCAAAAGCAGAGTGTACGCCGGTGCGCGAACAGCAGTGGCAGCCGCTTTGCTGCTTGCGTTGCACGAGTGACACGCACCAAGCAAACCACAGCCCCAACAACAACGACGCACCTGAGATGGCCGAGTTATAGCAGTACTCGTTCGGCTCCAGGTTGTCCCTGCCCTCCTTCATCTCTTCCAGGAGGTCCACCGCGCCTTCCCACTGGCCCGCCTTGCCGCAGGCCGCGATAGCGGCGCAGTAGGTCCCCTCGGTCAGCTGCACCCCTTCCTCCCTCATCTGCTCGAGCACCCCAACCGCGCGGGCGTGCTCCCCGGCGTTGCCGCACGCGACGATGACGGCGTTGTACGCGACGCAGTTGGGCCGGATCCCCTCCGCCCTCATCTCCTCGATCAAGGAGAAGGCCCTCTCCCACTCGCCCTTGTGCCCGCAGACCGTGGCCAGGTGCGTGAACGTGAAGGAGTCGGGCTTGATCCCGGCCTCCCGCATCTCGCCCAGCAGGGCGAACGCCAGCCTGTCCTGGCGCCCGTGCGCGCACGCCATCAAGGCCGCGTTGAACGTGTACGCGTCCGGCGTTATGGTAGCGGCGTCGCGCATCTCCTGGAGAATCGAGAGAGAGACCTGCCACCTGGGACTACGCGCCAGCGCGGCCATGGTGGTGTTTATCATGACGCGGTTGAGTGTGACGTTCTCGTCGTCGCAGGCCTGCTTGTACATGTCGATTATCCCGATCCAATCCCCCGTCCGCTTTAGATCTTGCATCTCCGCCATGAACTGCCCCGTCCTCGTCTTCCCCCTGCTTTCGCCGCCGCCGCCTCCGCCACGCCCGAATCTCTTGCCGCTGCGCCGACCCCGTCTTCCTCTACCCCCTCGACTTGATTTGTCATCCTCCCTTCCCCACGCTGCTTCTGACCCTTCTTCTAGTCCCTGACCTCCCTCCCCCTCCTCCTCTTCAAACTGTCGTTCCACGGATGCTGGCTCCTCCTGCCCTTGTCGTTGCCATTGCTGCCGAGGGCTTTCGTCGCTGTTGCTGGTGCTGCCGTCGACGCCGTTGTTGCTGCCCTCGACAAAGCCCGTGTCGGCGAAGCCTACCGCCGTTCCGAGGTGGCGCCGCGGCACCAACGCAGCAAAATCGAAAGCACAAGTGGCGACAGTGTCAGGCGCGCCTCCCCACAGGCTGGCGGACGCGACCCGGCGGCGACGCGAGGCATTTGATAGTCGCCGCTGGGTGGCGACGGCACCTCGAGCCAGAAGTTTCCCCAGCATCGTTGCCGTCTATCCTCGCGTACAGAGCTCTATGATCGTAGGGGCTAAGAGCTATGCTCCTGTTATATCAGGTGAGGCGTGGTGGGTCTTGGTTTACTGCTGTTTACACCTCAGACCTTGCAGCAGAATGCGGTGGTGTAGTGTGTGCGGTTGTGGTGCATAACATGCCGCTTCATAGGGGGTGCCGCGGAATCATAAGGGTATGAGAATACCGTTGCTTGTCGAGCCTGTCGTCTTGCATTTGTCTTCACTGCTGTACGCTGTACACCTGGCCTGCTGCGTGGAAGCACGAGAGGAGGTCTGCTAGCACGCCCACGAGAACGGATCGACCACAGAGTGAGTTTGTTTTTGATGCCGCTGTTGTACCGACTCAGCAAAGGCAGCACTGGCGTGGTTGCGCGGGATAGACCGGATGGGAGGATAAACAAGCAGGTTAGGCCGCATCCTCCGAGCAACCAACGTCCACAACAAGCAATCAGCTGTCTGAAGGCCATCCCGCCAACGGTTGTTACGTGTCACGTGTATGAGTCCATCAGTGGCTCTTCTAATGCCCCGGCAAGACCTGTAACCCCGTGTTGATTAATTTCCACGGCAGTACCTTCGTACATCAGCGGGGGCAACGACGTGCGTTGGATCAATCTCCCACATATTGAATCCAAGTAGCGTGCAAGCAACTGCCCTAGACAAAGCCCTCTGCAAGATGCGGTCCTAGCCCATTCGCCTGCCACTCGCGAATGATATTTTTTAACCAATCCTGGTTGTGGTTGCGTTCTGTCTTTTCGCCAAAGGCAAGTGAAGGGCGTCTGGAGCGCCGAAGTCACGGTGTGGGGAGCTGCGAATGAGCTCGGACGAGGAGCAGGATGGGGCCGGACGGAGAGGCGGGCGGATGGCCTTCACCGACCAGGTGCTAGAACCCAGAGACGCCTAGATGCATGCCGTGTTGCGTGGTAGCCGGCAGCAGTAGTCGCTAGACCCTCCAGGTATCTTGTTGTCGTGGAACATGTCGGCATTGTGGAAGGCAGTGATTTTCCATCTACGTTGTTGGTATGGATGATGCGGGGCGGCCGGCATGGATGGAGGTCACCAACGGCAGCAGCGTGTTCGGTTTCTTGATAAACATGGGACACGCGCCTTTCACTGCAGGACGAAGCGGCCACTGCAAACCTACGCTTACATGTCTTTGATTCAGGTCCAGTCGGTGTGTTATATACAACATCATTCCGGACGGCCTACATGTTCCAGGTATCGTCTCCCGTCCATGTCCTAACAGTATATTCCAATCTGCCTGTCTGCTGCCCCCCCCCCTCCACACCCTGGTTTCTTTCGAACCCACTTCCGTATACGTCGAAGAATGACTTCGAAGGCGGGAGGTGGATCAACGGGGAGTACTACTACGAGAGCCAGCGGAAGGGCCAGATGCAGACGGAGGACGACCGCATCCTCGGAGTGTTCCAAGACGGCAGCAGCGACGAGGACGAAGGGAGGAAGAAGAAGAAGGGCGGCGGCGGAGGAGGACGCAAGCAGCAATCTTCGGGCAAGGACCACAGTAAACCCATGTCGTTCGTCGGCGGGAAGGGCCAGGGGGGGAGCGGGGGCGGTTCTAAGGTGGGTTTGGTCGAGGACACAGAGGGAGGAAAAGCTATCAGGAGACATGTGCGCGAGGAGCTTTCCCGCCTCTACTGTTGTGCTTATATACGTCAGACCCTTGTATTGTTGAACCGCCGCCTGTACTGAGGTGACGAGGTGACCGTCGTCTTCAGATGAGTTGCGCAGAATCCACACGTATGGGACACGTGTCGTAGGATTTCAGGATGACAGGAAAGCGAATCGCAAGTGTCGGCGTGCACTTTTTTCGTGGAGTCATTGGAACACGGGTGCTAATGGTAGCCAGCCGAACCGGAGAGGAGAAAGTAGGGCAGGCACACCAGGTACGGTATATGGTACCTGTCGTGTCATCTTCATGGTGTTGTTGTAACAGTATGCACCGAAGAGCACATGTCTGCATTGTTGCCCATGACAACATAGCGATTAGGCCTGTTTCAGGTTTCAGGGGGAGAAGTAAAGAAAGGACTCGAATCAGACCGTGCACTTTTGTCTAGCGATAAGCACGTCCTCGTCGCGATGGTAGCGTCTGCTCCCTTATCATTTTCACGCCCGTATACCTTGCAGCACGGCGTTGTCGCTCTTTCACGTTGGCATTCAAAACGCCCGCAAACTAGAGGAAGGTTTGACTAATAAGAAGTACGCACATCCCAGCCGCCATTTTGAGTAGCCAACGTCCATTGATTCAGCATCCCTCGGCCTTGTATGTCGCGCCGTCCTTGGCTCTTCCCCTACCCGCACCTTATTAATATAACCTAAATATCACCTGATGCTGAGACTTGAAACCCGCCCGCTTTTCAGGCAAGAAACAACAAGGCGACGCCTGCCGCTGCTCCGGGGGGCGGGGCTGGCGGCGGCGGTACAGCCGACGGCGACGGCGGAGAGGAGGACGATGAAGAGGAAGAGCAGGAGGACCCGTCCGCGGCCCTAGCCCGCCAGAAAACGCAGCAGCACTTCCGGGACCTCCTCAACAATGCCGTGACATCGGCGGCGGCGGAACCGAGGAAGCAAAACGCCTCCAAGCCGCCGCCACCCCCGCCGCCACCCCCTCTTGGTAGCACTGCATCGCCCGGGATAGGTAGCACAACACCAGCAGTCGCAGCGGTAGACAGCGGCCCGGTGGCAGCGGATACTAGGAGCAACGCAGACTTTAGAGCATTATTAGGAAAGGTTCCGCCGCCGCCACCGCCGCCCCCCACGCCGCCACCCGTACCTCCGGCGGCATCCGCGACGGCAACAACTTCTGGCGGGCTTGGTTTGGGCGCGAAGGTGGGGGTGGGGTCGGGGCTTGGGGTTGGAGCGAGGGCAGGCCTAGGGGCGGGGGAGAAGAAGGAGCCTGAGAAGGAGCAGCCGACAAAGATGAAGCCCTTGCCGGCCAAGCTTGACCCTGGTTTCGGGAACTGGGAGAAGAACACCAAGGTGTGTGTGTGTGTGTGTCCGTGTGTGAGTGTGAGTGTTTTCTGTGTGAAGGTTGTTGCTGCGGTGCGACGTCCGCGTGACCGGGTGACCAGCTCTTACATGCCACTGCCACTTGTAGCCAGACACAACACTCAGAACCGTAAGTGTGTGTGTTCTTTAGATATCTTCGATAGCGCAGACCGACTGACCCTTGAAAAAGATAGCACTAACCGAAGGACCAATTGAAAGCCGCGAGTGTTTTCAACGGAGCAAGAAATCCGAGCACCACTGGTATTAATTACAGCAGGCGGGTTTCCCCTACCAGAGACGGAGCCGCGGTTGTGTCTACGACTTGAGTGTTCGTGCCGTTGTGGCAAAGACAAGACTTGATCCCGCAATAGCTTCTACTCTACAAAGCTTAATTGAGTGAGGGCCGGGGTTGGTTGGTGTGAGATGGAAATCCTTCATGTCTCCTTGCCGTCGAGAAAAAATATCAAACAAAACGACGGCGGTTAGTTGGTCAGCGAGAGGTTTTCGACCCTATCGCTGCCTTGACGAAAGGCCGGCATCCGGTCACCATTACTAGTGTTGTACGGATCGTATGCGTCGCCTGGCATAATCGATCAACACGTTGGCCAATCGAACAAGGTTAACTCCCCCTGGCGACGTGTCGCCTACGGCCCCTACTCTAGTTTTGCCAACACTCAACGCAAAGTTGGTGTGCAAAATGTTTTCCTGAGCCAATCGGTCTTAGCCATTCCATTCTTGCTCAAGGCTCGTGTCTTTGCGTATCTGCTTGGATTCCGACAGCCACCGTTCGTCGGCAATGAGTTGTCCTTTTACGCAAGTGTTCGGTCCAATCCTTAGGCGTTCCAAGTGTGTGTGTGTGTGTGTGTGTGTGTGTGTTTTTTAGAGAGAGAGTGAGATGGTTCTTTCTCCGCCAGTTTTTCGAGTGGAGCTCGATTTGAACCTCTCTCTTGGAAACCAGAGTTCGATTTGGGAAAGATCCTCCACTCGCGTTGTCACACCTGTGCTGTTTTTCCATGATACCCTCCCGCAAGACAACATTCGTTTCGCCAAATATACCATCCAGCAACCGACAGGTTGGCCCCAATCCAGACCCCTGCTTCGTCGATGCACCCATCTTCGATATTCAGTCACGATGCCCCCCCCCCCCCCCCCCCCCCCCCCCCCCCCCCCCCCCCCCCCCCC